GGTCAGAAAAAGCAATATAAGAACACTCTCCAGGTCTCTCTTAAAAACTTTGGAATTGATTGTGTGACATGAGAGACACGGGCCTAGCATGACATGTCCTCATCAGAGAAGGTTCTGTGATCTATGAGCAAAACAGAATTGAAGTAGCTCAAAAGAAAAGCAAGATGAACAAATTTAGAGAATCTACCCCAAATGTTCATATGGACTATATGTGGCAAACCTGCAGTAGAGCAATCTGAACTCCTACTGGTCCGATCAGCCACAGTCAGACACACTGTAATTTGACTCCAACATAGTGATGTTATTTTGGTCCTCTTCAAGAACAAAGGACAACAACCATTATTCTCAGCAGACACAGCATTGTAATCGAAGCTACCAAAAGTCAAAGGCAACTATGTGAAAGATCTTAACTAGTATCCTCTAGACAACTACCATGCTGTCATAGCAGAGACAGAGACAGTTCATCAAACAGTCTTGTGTATAAGAAAGAACAGCGGATTTGGAGTCAGTGAATCTGGGTTCAAAATCTGATTCTATTCCTTCAATCAACTAGTCAATCAATAAGCATTTATTAAGTGCTTTAGTGCTTACTTATGAGGTTGGTACTGATTGTGCTAAGAGCTGGGGATACAAAGAAAAAACAATTTTAAAAAGTCTCTGTCCTCTTACTTACATAGTTTACACTGGAATAGGGAAGATAACATGTTTTATATAGAGAGATATACAAAATACATACTATGTACAGGGAAGGTAACTTAAAAGAGAAATCACTGGCAGCTGAGAAGAACAGGTCTTCTGAAGGTGGAATGTGAACTGAGTCCTGAAGGACCCCAGGGATTCTAAAAGGTAGACCTGACAAGGGAGATCATTTCAGATATGCAAGATAGCTGCGGCAAAGGCACAGAAATGGAAGGTGAAATTGCTTGTGTGAGAGACACTAAGAAGGCCAGCGTAGCTGGTTCACAGAGTGCATGGAGAGAATAATGTGTAAGAAGGATGGAGATGCAGGAAGGAATCAGGTTGTGAAGAATTTTAAATGCCAAACATGAGCTGATGTTTCATCCTAGAGACATTAGGGAGCTATTGTAATTTATTGAGTGGAGGTTTGACATAATCAGCATGGTCAGATCTGTGCTTTAAGAAAATCACTTTGGGTGATTAATAATTTTTAATTGCTAAAATTGGCCTAAAATAAATGAATATAAATCTCTAGCAAAGCCAAGTCAAATATTTGTGTTATAGCAACAAAGATAATAATTGCTTTATTAAAAACTGCCTTCTTCATCAACAATTTCTTTTTAAAAGGTGGTAAGCTTTCCATCAGAACTCTATTTAGAAACCTTGGTTTTCAAATGAGTTGGATACCTGCTCAATAAAATCACCACTAAAACCCTACAGAATTTCATTAAATATGTCCATTCATAAAGATAAGCTAAAAGAATTCTCTGGGGATAAGATACCAGTGGGAATCTAAACATGAAATTAATATGGTATTAATAACCTATAGGAAATGTATGTATGTATGTGTTTCCCAGTATATTTTGTTTTTATAAAACTTCTAAATTAAAAAAAAAAAAAGAAAATCACTTTGGCAGTTGTGTGGAGTATAGATTAGAGCGGGACAGACTTCAGGAAAAAGGACCAATTAGAAATCTAGAGGTAATAGTGCAGGAGAGAATTGATGACAGTATAAATTAAGGTAGTGCTTGTCCAATCAAGTCAACAAGTATTTATTAAATGCCTCCTGTGTTCTACATGAGTGAAGCGAAGAGGATATAGATACAGAGATGTTGAGGAAGTATGAACAACAAGATTGGGCAAATGATTCAATATATGGGGTTAGTGAGGTGGAGTGAGAAGTTGAGGATGAGTCTGAGGTTGCAAAGTGGGGTTAGACTGGAAGTGTTCTGAATAGTATGGGGAAGTTTTGAAGATAGTAGGTTTGGGGGGAAAGTTCTGTTGAGTTTGAGATGCCTATGCCACTCCAAAATATAGAACAGGTAGATGGTGATGTAGTACTAGAACTCAGGAGATAAACTAGGACTGGATATATAGATCTAGGGGTAAATTTCATAGAGATAACTGAAACCATAGGAGCTGATGAGAGCACAAAATGAAAAGAAAGAGAACAGAAACTATAAAAATCCATTAGGGGACACTCATATTGAGTGGACATAACGTGAATGATCATACAGCAAAGGAGACTAATGAGAAATGGCCAGGTTAGAGGTAGGAGGAAAACCAAGAGACAGTAATGTCATTAAAACCCAGAGAGAAGAGACTATCCAAGAGGATAAAGGTAATCAACAGTGTGTAATCGACAATGCAGAGAAGTTGAGAAGGATTAAGAATGAGAAAAGACCCTTAGGTATACCACTGAAGAGATCATAAGTAATTTTTCCAAGAGCAGTGTCAGTTGAATGATGAGGTCAGAAGCCAGATTTGTGAAAGTTTAGAAAACAGTGAGATGAGAAGAAGTTGAGGAATTAAGTGAAGACAACGTTTTCAAGGAGTTTCACTTAGATGAGCATTGATATATAGGACATTCAAATGAGTACTTTTTTAAGGATAAAAGAGACTTGGGTTTGTTTATAGTAAGCACAAAAGGATCTAGTAGACATGGAGAAACTAAAGGGAGGAGGATGATAGTGGTACAACTCCTTGGGAAAGATGGGAGGTGATGAGATCATGGGTGCACGTACCTCGGCTAACCTCTCTTCATTATAGACTAAAGAAAGAAATAATGAAGGATGACGTAAGAGATTTGTGATGAGATGAGGAAAAGATAGAAGCAGGATATCTTGACAAATAACCTCAATTTTCCAGTGAAATGTAAGGCAAGATACTCTGCTGACCAGGGTGGGGTGGGAGGGAAGAGAAGTGGCATGAAAGGTATGAGGAGAAAAGAGAAGGGCTAGAACAGCCATTACTATGAGTAGAATAGAGAATCAAACAGGAAGATTTGTTTTGCTGCAATATGAGCCTTGTTGAAAATAGCCAGCACTAAATTTTTAGTGGACTGAGGCAACTCAGTTTTATAATTTCCTCCAGATCTGTTTGGCAGTAAATAAGAGCAAAGTCAGAATGTGGTAGAAGTAATCCAGGGTTGGGGAATGGCAAAGCATGATTAATGACAGGAAAAGGAAACAAGAAGTAGTTGTTTGACCTTAGGAACTTAACCTATCTGGGATTCAATTTCCTCATCTATAAAATGAGTAGGTTAGATAAGGGGATTTCTAGGGTCCCTTACAGCTCTAAATTTATGATCCATATCAAAAAAGCATACCGTTACAGGAGTAGCTATTAAAGGTTATATTAGACTGACATCTTTCAGGAGCAGTCACAGGACATGCTTAGGGGCAAATAGTTGGGCCTGAGAATAGAGCCAATTAATGCCTCCTTCTGACAGATTCATTCTAAAATTCTGATTGATGTGTTTGTTTTGGTTTTTGTCTTTATATTATCACATTGAATGGAATTGTGGAATTGAGGTATAGAGGTTGCTAAGTTTACAGCTTATAAAAGATTTTTTTGGGTTGGCTGGGTTTTTGGCATCCAAATGTGGAGTTTCATGGCAAAGTATGTACCTACTGATTGCTCTATTAGGAATGTAGGTGACAAACCTACTAGGAAAAAAAAAGACCCAGCAAAATTTCAACCCAAAAATCCTCTGTTGGAAATGTAGACAAATTCTATGAATCATTAATAAAACCCTCCAAAATTAAATCATCACATATTTTGAAATGGAAGAATGTTCCAAATTATTAATAAGAAAAAAATGTTTACCAAAATAACGCTGATATTTGCCTCACACCCAGCAAAATTGACAGAGAGGACAAAAGGGAATAGTAAATATTGGAGGAGTTGTTGAAATAAAGGCACATTCATGCAAAATGGTAAAATTGCTATTAAAAACAATCTGGAATTATGAAAAAAGTGAGTGAAATGCCCATAACCTTTGGCCCAGTTATTCCACTGCTAGGTATATACCTGCAAAAGGAAAGGCTCTACATACCCCAAAATATTTATAGCCATACTTGTTTTGGTACCAAAGAACTGGAAATAACATGCATTAATTGGGAAACAGCTAAGCAGATTGTGGTACATGAATGTAATAGAATATTACTGTGTTATAAGAAACAACAAACAAAATGAATATTGAGAAACACACAAAGATTTACATAAACTGGTACAAAGTAAAGTAAGCAGAATTAAGAAGATCACATGCACAATGAATACAGCAATGAAAATAGAACACCAAACTACTGAAATTGAACGCTCTAGAATTATAAGGACCAAGGTTGGCCCCAAATAAAGGATAGGAAAATACATCACTCCACAGCTCCTTCGCCTAAGTGAGAAACCGTGGGGAAGGTACTGCCTCTAACACTAGAATTTTTTTTATCTTATTTGGTTTTATGCAGGTTTTTTTCCTTCTTCCTTTCTTCATACTTTACTATATGGGATAGCTCGCTGGAAGGACTAGAAAGAGGGATACATTGGAAAACACAGATAATGCAAAAACAAAATATAGCAATAAAAAGTAACAAGTACAAATTCCACTGAGTGGGAGGTAGAATTAGTTACTAGAGTGGCCTAGAGGACACAACCACAGAGCTTGAAGAGATCACATAAATTGTTTACTCCAGACCACAGGTAACGTTTAGAGTCTTTACCAGAGAGGACTGGAAAGTGGATAGTAGTTCTGTGGCTTCTCTGCCCTCAGTCTCTGAGCTTGTATTTCTCACCTCCTTCTATTCTACTGAAAAAGTATGAGTATGAGGAGGCCCTTTAAATTTTGCACCCTCTAAATTTTCTGCCCCAGCACAAGACCAAGATTACTTTTAACTCTAATCGTCAATGTTCACTTCTAATAATTTTACCCTGGATAAAAATTTGAGGGGAATTGGAAAAAGTGGAAGGGGTACATAGTATAATTTGTCCCAAGCCCTAGAAATGGAAACACATAACTACTTAAGATCAAAGAAATAAAGACATACCAAACCTTTGTCCAAGACAATATGTATTTCCACATACTGAGGAGACAGCTTTGGACCAAATGATCTTGACTGGAAAAAAAATGAGAAATTGTAAGAAGTTTCATAATTCGCTATACATTAGCAATCTATCAGCAACATTGATGGGGATGGGAAGGAAAGGGCAGAGATAAATTTTAAAATTAAAACTGCACTAAGACTTTGGGGACAACCTGTCTATAACTGGTTCCTTGCCATATTTAACACACAAGTTCTTTTGGAAAAGTACCCAAATTTCTAAGTGCTTAATAAATTCATTGTCTCTTATAGCTTTAATTGTTCCCTGTTCTGTGGTCTAGGTTTGCAATACTTTAAGGACCCATGGTTTCATCAACATTTTCTCTACTAATGTAGTTACACTCTCACTTCTCATGATAAAGGTAGGCTGATACTCAGAAAACAGTCAGTCTGTTTCTGAGCTAATCCTCAAAAGCTTTCTAGCTTGGTTAGAACAACCAGCATGTCAGCTTCACTCCCATAGCTTTTGAGAATTCAGGATCCCCTCGATGACACAATAAGATATTAAGCAAGATTTTAATATAGGTTTATCTGCACAACAGGAAGATCATATATGAATTTGCTCTACAATTAGGATTCTATTACCAGTCACTTAGGACAAGAGATTGAATGTCACAGTTCAAGAGAATCAAATTTCAACTCTAATTCTATAAAAGAAATCTTTTTAGTGTGGTAACAATTCCCAATAGCATCAAAGAAAAGAACAAGAACCATAATTTAATCAGTTGATCAAGACTTTTAAAAGAAAATATTCTATGAGGTTGCTGACCTTATCCCTAAGAGCCTGAAATAGGTTCAGGTTCAATCACTACCAGTCTCCAGGTAATTTTACCTATTAGAAAACAGTCTAGATTGGGGCATTAACCTGGAGAGAACGATGTAAAGTTTATTTTGCTTGCAAAGTAGCATGGAAAATGCTATATATATCATAATGTGTAAATTATCCTGTCATTCAAGTTAAAATGAGAATTTTTATAAAGAACACTCACTATGTAGGTTGATTTCCCCTTATTCTCCCTCCCCTAATCATAACCCTCAAATCAACTTCCCATTTTAAAAGGCAGGCAAAAAGGACCATTGGAATATCAGTGAGGTAACATGAAAAATCAGTATATATTCTGGATAATAAAGTTATAATTATGACTTTTAGTTGCTAAGGTCTTTTCTAACTCAAATTCTATGACTTTGCAATAGGACATAAGCAATAAATCCCCAAAGAGATCAAAAAGGGAAAAGACTCATATGTACAAAAATATTTATAGCAGCATTTTTATTGTAACAAAGACCTAGAAACAAAGTAGTTGCCAATCATTCGGGGAATGGCTGGAAAAAAATGGCTGAAAAAATGGCTGGATATATGAATGCAATGTAATTATTATTACACTATAAGTAATGATGAAAAAGGAGAGATTCAGAAGAATATTAAAAGATATCATAACCATCATCATCATCGTAATCATTCTAGCTAGCATTTACATGGTGCTTTAAAATTTGCAAAGCACTTTACAAGTAACTGTGTGGCACAGTGTACCTATGTTAATAAATATTGAATAAATTAATGTAGCATGTAGTGAGTAGCACCGGAAGAACAATTTACACAATGACGATGACATTGTAAGGGAAAATAACTTTGTATATTTAAGAACTCTGATCAATGAAATAACCAAGCACTATTCTACAAGGCTTATGATGAAGCAAGTTTTCCCAGTCTCTTGGAAGGAAAAGTGATAAAACCATAGGAATAGAATGAAACAATACCAGACACAAGTGTTACAACAGAAATTTGTTTTGCTTGACTATATTTCTGTTATATTTTGTTAAAAGGAAGGGCTTTATTTGGGAGTGGGGAGAGTTAGGGAAATAGTAGAGAGGGAGTGATACTAATTCAAATATAGGGAGTCCGGGTACATGTTTTTGTGGTGTTCTGCCTATGTAGGTTATATGTGTCTACACGAGTCTGTCTAGATCTGGTTCACATGAAGGTAAGAATAGATATCTCTAGAGCCTCCTTCCCCACCCTTCTCCAAGGGAAACTGATTCCTTCTAGGAGGAGAAGCAGGAGGTTGGGGCCTGAAGCTTGGCCATTCTGCTCTCCTCAGATAGAGGGGATGCTAGACTATAATTATATCTATCTGATCCCTTAAATATTGCCAATCTAGGAGAAATAATTTGCAATCCTAATTGCTAACCCTGAATGAAGAAGTTCCTTATGTTATATATTCAAGGCTCCTTTCTCATCAAATTCCAGTTCCACAATGAACACATGAAGAAAATAGCAAATAAACTCATCTATACAAGTCGATAGCAAAAACACAAATCAGAAAAAGTATACCTTGGAGAATTTATATCAGACAACACAAAGAGCAAATGAATTATCCCATTAGGAACAACATACCTCAGCTCAACACAGACAGAGAGTCTCAGATTTCACCCAAAAGGAAATTCCCTCACTTTCTAATATAGTAACCTGAGGATAAGAACATGATTGAGGTTGTGCTCCTCTGTATCTCGGCTTCTTCTCAGAGTTTTTCTCTCCCTTCAGGGACCTGAAGACAGCCTGGAATGTCATGTCTTCTATCTTAAGGCTGAAGCCAGAAGACCAGGATCTCTCTTTTCTCTAGCTCTCAGCAACTCTGCCCCTCCCTTTGTAGATGCTCAACAACCATCTTTTTACTGACCCACTACAGAATTTTCCAAGGAGGTAAAATTCACTGGCCTATAATTTTCAAAGTCTAACTTTTTTAAAAAATCGGGACATTTAGTAAAGATACTAGAATGGTTAACCATTTCCTTCTCCATCTCATTTTCAGCATGAGGAAACTGAGGCAAACAGGGTTAAGTGCTCAGGGTCACAAAGCTAGTGAGTATCTGTGGCTGGATTTGAACTCAGGTCTTTTTGACTCCAGGACCAACATTCTATTCCCTACATCACCTACCTGTCCCCAGTTAATAGTAGCTGATCATTATAACTATTTTTGGATTCTCAGTCTTTTTCTCTCTCTTTGTTGTTTCTAGGACATAGGATAAAAAGCGGTTTCACTGGGTCAAAGAGTAGGCACAATTCAGTGTCTTTTGGGACTCAGCTCCAAGTTGTTTTCCAGAATGGCTGGACCAATTCAAAATTCCACAAAGAGTTCATGAGTGTATCTATTTTTCCATAGCCCCACCAACAACTATCATTTTCACAAATCTGAATGGTATTAGAACCTCAGAGTTGCTTTAATTTACATGACTCTATTTGAAGTATTTTCAAGTGGTTGTAGACAGTGTGGAGTTCTTTTGCATACTGGAAAACCAGACTGTTGGGAAAAGACATCCACCATGCTTGACTATAAAAAGGGAGTTAGTACACCTCACAGACTCTTTTTAGTCACTTTTTATATTTTATTTTTATTTATTTTTTTAATTTAATTTTAATTTAAAATTTTAAAATTTTATTTATTATATTTTCCCTTTAAACTTTCTTCCATTGTGCAGCATGTGAGTGAGGGGGATTTCTCCCACCAAGAATACATCTCTGTCTTTGTCATTAATCATTCTTGAAGGTAGAAAGAAATCCCCACCTCATGCTTTGGAACTAAACCCCCTAGCCCCAACAAAGGACATCACACTTAGGGACTTCTATCCAAGCAACCCTCTGCCCACAAGTTGCACTATCAAAATAATTCCATGTAAAAGATGGGCAGCTGTGTTCTGATCTCTGGCACCCCAATCTTCCAGAAGAGTCCTTTGTTCTGTAGGAACTGTTTATATGATCTTTTCACTGCAAGAGGCAGGATTCTCAGGAAATTCCTCTTCTCTGCATACTACACTGACTCTCCAAACTCTCAAACTTACTTGCAAGGTAAGGCTGGCAGTGCTTAACAAATCTTATCTGGCTAGAAAGATTATATTTCTCAATTGGACTACCTAAAAACTTCTTTTTTTAATTTTTTTAAAAAAAATTATGTGTATTTAATATTTTATTTTCCCCAGTTACATGTAAAAACAATTTTTAACATTTGTTTTTAAAACTTTGAGTTCCAAATTCTCTCCCTTCCTCCCTCTCCACCCCACTCCCAACTAAGAAGGCAAGCAATTCAATATAGCAAAACATGCAAAACATACAAAACATTTCCATAGTAGTCATATTGTGGAAGAAAATATAGACCCCTCCAAAAAAAAAACCTCAAGATAAAAAAGAAAGTAAAAAAAGGATGCTTCAATCTGTATTCAGACACCATCAGTTCTTTCTCTGGTGATAGATAGCATTTTAAAACCAAAGTCTTTTAGAGCTGTCTTTGTATTGTCATGCTATTGTGATACAGAAAGGCACTGTAGAACCTGAGAATGCAGGAATTGTACTGCAGAGATTTTTCCTGGGTTTGGTTCATAACCTTTGTGTATCTAATGGCATCAGAGCAATGAAGACACAGAAATCACTGCTAAGATAAGAGATGTCCTATAACAAGGAAAAATGGCCACCAGAGGCCCATTACTTTGCCAGCAGAGGTTTGACTGACAGTGAGTCTCACTACACTGTTCATAACCTTAAGTTATTGTCTTTAAAGTGGGACATTACTAAGACATTCAGAAAGAATACATATGGAGCAAAATCCAAAATGTGGACTGGTAACAATCTATTGATTTATATCCTGACCAGCGCCAAGTTGGATGCTGCTTTCTAGAGTAGCAGCACTGGTCAATTATTACTTCAGCACACATTCCAGGCCTGCCAAGGCTAAGGGGATATAGATGCTTTGTCCAGAATGTCACACAATACTATAACTATGTATAGTGATAACAGAAGATTAAGGGCATTTTGTGAAGCTTGAGTCACTAGATTACAACTGAACAGAAGTATGGCCAAGAACTTGGGGCTTCCATCAGACAGCATGCCAAGTATGTGTGTAAATCTTGTGATGCTGAATCAATCTTCTTTGCCACAGTTGTCTACAAATGACTGGTGGTGAGAACAAATAGATTACAGAGGACTAAGAGAAGTAAAACCACCCCCAAAGAGGGAAATGAACCTACTCATTTAAAGTTGCAGATAGCAAAAAGCACTTTACTACAAAGGCAATGGCAGAAGATGGAGCTGTGCAGTGGAGTGCTGCCTTCAACTGTGACTAATCCCACAAATGTAATCAGGATGAGGTTGGTTTTGTCCAAAAGCATACAGCTCAATAGCCATGAATACCTTACATGATAACTTTGGACATATGAATCAAGAAAGAACCCTAGGGCTGGTAAGAAACCACCTAAGATGACTATAGATGTCATTAAAAATTGTGAAACTTACACCTTTATACCTTTGTGTACAAAGGAAAATATTACCAATTCATACTTCATATTTAGAGCATATAAGTACCAACAAATTTAGAAGGAGATAGTAAAAATGTGAGTTATATCTTAGTGGTGACTGACCATTTCACTAGATATGTACAAGTATTACCCAACCAAAAGTATCTAATGCTGCTAAGGTGCTATGGAGAAAGTATTTGTCAGTATATGAATTCCCTGCCAAAATCCAAGCTAGCCGAAGTAGAGACTTAGAGAGCAAGTGACTTAAGGAAATGTTGACCTTGGCAATTATCAGAAAATCAAAAACTACTCCTAACCATCCTCAAAGAGGTCTACAGTCTCAACAATTTAATTGCACATTGTTGGACATGTTAGATTGTTGTTGTTGTCATTCTTGTTGTTGTTGTTCAGTCATTTTCAGTTGTGTCCAACTCTCATGACAAAGATACTGGATTGGTTTGCAATTTTCTTCTCCAGGTCATTTTATAGATGATGAACTGAGGCAAACAGGATTAAGTGACTTGTCTGGGGTCACACAGCTACTCAATGTCTGATGCCAGATTTGAACTAATGAACATGAGTCTTCCTGACTCCAAGCCCAGTGCTCTATCTGCTGTGCCACCTAGTTGACCTTGAACATGTTAGATACATCTCATAATTTAAAGAGAAGCTGAGAGATCTCTACTAACCATTCACAGCTTCAGCTCATAAAATCTGTGACAAGAAACAAAAGACATTATCTTGCCAAAGTATGACGTCAAGACCTTAAACAAGGAGATAAGAGTTCTATTGAGGTACATTGGCTTTCACGTTAGCTGACCAATGGAAAACTGACCCATACAAAGTTATTGAGAGACTAGACAACTTACTTGTTTACCAAATAGCACCAGACAACGTAGGGTGCCCTATTGGAATTACTGACCACAGCCAATATCGCCCATAGGAGAGTTAGTTGGGCTTTCTACTGAGTAAGTGGAAAGAACTGAAGGATACCTAAGCAAAGGCTGGAGGAAAAAAACCTGTCCACCAGCTATACAAAAACCTTCGGACTCAGCTATGGGCTCCACTGAAGGAGACTTGTGTGTATTATTAAAGGGCAGGAGAATTGAACCCAGAGGCAATACCTTTCCAGTCCAAGACTGCTACTGAGATTCTTAGGGTACAGATTCAAACAACAGAGCTCCAACAATCCTGATAGTCAACCTGGCATAGCTGCCACGCCACAAACAAGTCTAATGATCCTGATGGTTAGCCTATACCAACAATGGGAGAGCTCCTTCGCTTGTTTTGTACGGTATATTTTCTCATATGTATACTTTCTCTGATTTCTGTTTTGCTATTAACTTTGATAAATGAGTTTCTTTGCCATTTTTCACATGGGTTCATTGTGGAACTGGTATTTGGTGGGAAGGAAATCAATCCCTGGACATAAAGCTTGGGGCCTCCCTTTCCCCATTAATAAATAGCATCAAGAGTTTAGCTTAAATTACTTCCCCTAAACTAACAATACTTAAGAGAGCAGTTAAATATAATTCTAACCAGGTACCTCCTCTCTGTGAGAAGAACAAAGTAGCCAGGCTCTGGCTCCAACCTCTTACTTTTCTTCCCAGAAAGAATTATCTCCTTTGGAGAAAGGTGGGGGAGGGGAGGATGCTCAAAATGCTTATTCTTCCCTCCCTTTGAGCCATGTTGGGACAGCCATACTACACAGATACAGAATCTGAGGCTCAGAAAGGATAAATGCCTACTCTGACTTAACACCACTCATAAATGTCAAGCTAAGACTTGAACCTAGGCCCTGCTACTACCAAATCAATCCATAAATTACTATTTTTAATAAAGTTCTTTCCATGAATTATTTGAAATGACCCTTTCTTGCTCTGAAGAAACTTACCAACTGAAAATAAATTGAATCTATTTGGGACAGCATTTTACAGAAACCTGGACCATCAATCATTCCTCCCACCCTTTCTTCCTACCCCATTCCTCTCTTTCCACCTACCTCCTGAAAAATCCTTTTAAATTCTAAGAATTGGAGAGGCAGCACGATATAGTAGAAAGAGTGCTGAATTTAGAGTCCACAGAGGTTGAGTTCAAATTATTCATTATATGACCATGAGCAATCTCTCTGAGCCCTAATTCTAATCTATTAAATGGAGTTAATAACACTCACATCACCTACCTCACAAAGTTGTGAGGATCAAATGAGATAATGTGAACAAGGTACTTCATAAAGTACTAAAAAAAGCCACCTATCGTTAAGAAGGCAAGCAAATTATTAACTAAATGCTTATGATAACTAGCATACTAGTTTTAAATGCAATTTATGATTCCTATAGAGTTGGATTAAAATGCATTATCTGCCATTTTGACTCAAGTTTACCCTAGAGTCCACTTAAACCTTCTACCAACAACAAGGGTTCTTAGTATGGGGCTAAGATTTCAGGGCATCTGTAAACTTTTGATAGAAAAAAAATTATAGCATTATTTTCCCTAACTTCTAACTGAAACTTAGCATTTCCTTCAATTATTTAAAGATATTATTCTGAGGAGTTTATCATTTTCACATTGCCAAAGGGATCCATGACACACAAAAAGATTAAGAACCCCTGATCTACAATATGGCACAGTATGTTGAAGATTTCATATAACCAATGTCTAAAAATATATTTATATTTATTTTATACATCCAAGTATAATGTTCCTATTTATATGATTCCAGAGGTTTGTAGTTGTTGAATCTGTTTTTGATATATTGATAGATATATTTTTGATGATTTAATTCCTAATCTTGATTAGGAATGAAATTTTTCTAAAAATCCTCTTTGTGACTCTATTCCCAAGAATGTACTGTGATTTTTAAAAACTGACAACTTGTATTTAAGTTCCCATAGAACACAGCACTCTACCAAGGGGCCAACTTAAAACAGGATCAAAAAATGCTAGCCTCTGTGCACATATGGATGAGAGAACCACAAAGTAGATGCTTGAAGAAAGAAAGCTTCCTTAAGAAGTAATGATGGGAATATAAAGGCAAATTGGTCACAAAAAGGTGAATGAGGGCTGATAGGTAGGATGATTACAAAAAAGAGAGATGGCACAACATCCCAGTTAATTTTAATAATCATTTTAGGTAGATGAGTAATAAAGCCTTTGGAAGTATTGGTAAAATTTCCAGAACTCACTTCAACACTAGTATCAGCTATATATTCCAGGTCCTCTGATTCCATGTGTGTATTATTTTCTGCTAAAACAGCAAGATCTGTGTTTTCATTTCTTAATCGATAAATAAGATGCTGAAATCCACCTGTAGGCCCAACGGGCTCAACTCCATAAGTAACATTTTCAAACTGCAGTAATCCTCTGCAAAAAAAAATGGTTTAAAAATACGAAAATCAAATATATATTATAGAATTCTGGTAGATTCTCAAATGACAAGAATTCAGCAAATATGTATTATGTCTACCTTGTACCAAGTCCTATGTTTAGAGGATACAAACAAAATGAATGAAAAAAATCTCACTCAAAAGGAGTAGGGATTCCATTTTAATAGGAGAGACAACAAGGACACATGTAAGTATAGACAAAATAAATATAAAAAGGACAAATGCAAATAAATACAAAGTAGTTAAATACAACATAGAGAAGACACTAGTAAGTCATTTCACCATCCTCAGAGATGACTTTACTCATCTGTCAAACGCAGGGATTGAGCCAGATGCCCACAGAGGTCCCTTCCAACCCTAGACTTATGATCTCTTAAAGGAATCTGAAGGAATACGTGGTGCTACACGTTGGGGAAGAAGTCACTTGATAGTTCAAAATAGAGACCAATTCTGGGGCAGCTAGGTGGCTCAGTGGATAGAGTACCGGCCCTGGAGTCAGGGGTACCCAAGTTCAAATCCGGCCTCAGACACACAGCACTTATTAGCTGTGTGACTCTGGGCAAGTCACTTCACCCCATTGCCTTGCAAAAATAAATAAATAGAAATTTAAATATACATATACATACATATTTATATCAATTCTGCCAGCAGTATAGACAGCTCTCCTCTTCTCCAGACCACAGGGAAAATCATAACCCTCTAAAACTAGAACCAGAATGTGCAGAGAACTCCACAAGAGACAGTGTACGTAGCATGGCCTCTTCTGCCTTAGAAAGCAGAGAAATTATGCCAAAGGGACAATTGAAACATATAGGGTTTTGTTTTGTTTTTTTCTTTTGATTTGTTTGGGTTTTTTTTTGCTTTTTGCTGAGGCAATTGGGGTTAAGTGGCTTGCCCAGGGTCACACAGCTAGTAAGTGTCAAGCGTCTGAGGCCAGATTTGAATTCAGGTCCTCCTGACTCCAAGGCCAGAACGTTATCTACTGCACCATCCAGCTGCCCCAAAAGATAGAGTTTTTCATAAAATCAGTTCTCCATTTCTCTAAGATTACAAAACAGGAGCATGAATTGTTCCATCAATGGATTCTCGGACAGTTTCACGGAGATCAAGTGAACCATTTTGTCCTCAAAGTTAAGGGAATAGATGCATGGCCTTTGGAAGTCTGATAAAGCTCAGATATTCCTCTGATAGATGAGTTCACAATCAATCTGAAGATAGATGAGAAAATCTCACCCAGGTTTTCATTTGGCAACTGCTACCACATCTCTGCACATATATCTACTTTAAACACGGCATATTCATTATGATCAAATATTATAAATCTGGTTTTTGCAATCAACCACATATAATAAAAACCTGAGTCCAGAACAGGCGTGGAGTGTGACAACTGAATTTGGGAAACCTGCAACGTGTCCTTGGTAGTTACAATATTTCTGGGGGGAAAAAAAGACAAATAGGTTATTTATATAACTCTTTCACATTCCCTGCGGGCCTTTTACAACTGCTTTTACACTGTAACCTAGCTATGGTCCCCTAAAACCAAAGAATTTCCCAGAGTTTGACATGTTTGACATGGGCCATTAGTACTACCGCTTAGTTAGCAATTAAGAATAATTCTCTTCTAAATGGCCTTGGGATTCCTATTCCATTTCCCATCTCCAGAGTGAGTCAGCCACATTACAATCCTCAGTGACCAAATTCTATTGCACTAGCATGCAATGAGTTTTAGCATACTTTATACGTAATTTTAAAATGCTGGGCTTACTCACAAAATCCAGCATGGCAAGGTTAACACATAAACACGGCTTTTCAGTTCTAACCTGTTTCACCTCCAAGGTGGAACTGGAAAAAAAAAAATGACTGAAAGTATTTGCTCAGGCTAGGAACACAGTAGTATAATAGAAAGAGTGCGAGACTTGGAATTCAAAGAAGTGACTTCAAGTCTCAACTCAAACTTACTCTCTGTCTGACCTGAGGCAAATCACAACTTTACATAAGCTTAAGTTTTCTTTACTATAAAATGGAAGCATAATTATATTACCTATATCACAGAGTTATAGCAGTATGGATTGAATGACCACATGTCATTAGACTTGCTCTACTCCAATCTAAAGGCATTTACATCATTCCCATATAGTCATTCCATTTCTGCTTTAAGACTTCCAGTGCCAGGGAGCTATCTACCATTTTTTTTAAAACTGTTTGAAAATCTTTCTTTATGTTGAACCAAAATCTCTTTCCCTATAACTTCTGACCACTGGTCTTAATTCTCCTTAGAGGGAACAAGTAAAACAATTCTAATCCTTCCACATGACAAGTCTTATAATATTTGAAAATAGCAGTCAAGTCTCTACTATATATTTTTTTTCAAGGCTAAAAAAAAGAAGGAAGTATGGTATAGTAGAAAAAGCACTGGCTCTTAAGTTAGGGGGTCTGGGTTCAAATGCCATATCTAAATACTACTACCTGTGTGATCTTACACAAAGTCCTTGGCACTTTCTTCACTGGTAAAATGAGGAGATTAGAATACATGACCACTAAGAACCCTTCTAGCTCTGTGATCCTATATGAATTACCTTACAGGGATTTTATGATTTCGTGAACAACTCTGTCAAACAGGTGATATAAATACCCCATATTGTTACAAGGAAACTAAAGTTCAGAGGTTATGCAATTTGCTTATAAGATCACATAGCTGGTAAATTGTTGAGTCAGGACTCAAACCCAGGTTTTATCTAACTTTAAAATTCTTAATCTAGGGTCCAGTCCTCTTTCCAATAAACCATGAAATAACTGAGTGAGTAAGGGGAATGATCCTAGTAGTAAAAATATGGAGTAAGTTAAGGAAATGGGATTTCCCTTCTGAGAATCCAACAATTCACAAAGAAGAAGATATAGCATGGATAAATCTCTTAGAGATATATCAGGATCAGGTTTGGCAACCAACTGGTAGACCCCAGGGTTCAGAAATCTTGCCTAAGGGCTAATTTCTGCACAAATGTTATATTCCTATGTATGTTTAAACTCAACAGAAACCAACTAGAGAATTGTTGCCTCATAAAGGGCACATAAATGTATTTTTACAATTATGGTTGTTAACCATAATATAGTTATAAATTCCTCAACTTGTGGAATACTAGGAAAAACACACTCTTCCAGGCTACATGCGAAACATGTGAAACTTCTGGAATACTGGGAAAGCAATCAAATAATTTCTAAGCAAAATAAACCCTTTCATAGTTGCTCTCTGACCCTTCTTTATTATTTTAGTCAAACAATTGTGAATTCCAAACAGATTTCTCATGGACCCTCAAATAAGATTGAATTCATATCTATTAGTTTCTATAGCCAGGTAATGATAAGAAATCTCCCTTTAACTTCATATTTCTAAGTTTTCAAATTTTCATCTCAAGGGACAGAATAAATAAAACAAGCTTTTAAAAGGAAACATGTTTTTACAAAAATGGATTATATAGGAGTTAAAGGAGAACTATGACACATGCTGATAATTGCAAAAATGTGTCATTTACTTTACTGACTTACTGAGAAAAAAAGATCTAGCAAATTTACCGGTTCTGTATCACTGTGAAAAATCTGAACAATATTTGAAACATAGGAAAACTCTGCCAGCATTTGTTGCTCATAAGTATTTCAATTCTAACCTGGCAGAAACACCTCCTTGAAGATGAGGTCTGAATCATGTTTTATTTCTATCTTGTATTCTTTTCATGTTTATATCTCTAGCACTCAGTACATAATAGATATTAGTTGAATTAAACTTTGAAGTAGGGGAGTTTTCATTATCACGTCTCTATTTTGTGTCCTAAAGGAGAAAAATATTTATTTCTAGCTCTTGAAAGTGGTATGTATCACATCCCATGTTATGTGCCAAAAGTTTCTGCTACTGAATTATCCTTATGTTTGAAATTTAGTGTTCTCCCTAAAGCAAGTAATGCAGTTCTGCATTTTTTGTAAAAACTGGTAAGATTCATTTTGCCCCTATAGGAAATAAAGAAGTTGTCATAAAAGTTCTCCCTTCATTGTTTTGAATGTTCATTGTTCTGATTCATATTTTCTCTCTTATCTATTATTCTATAAGGCCTAACAAGTACAGAGGTAGGTGTTAACAAAGGTAAAGAGGCAGAAGAAAGTCAAGTATACATGTGATTAAGTTATTAAATAATACTGACCATTTACAGAATCATATATTCCTCTGACAAGACTAATTTAGGGATGAGTGTCACTTAGAATTGAGCAAGTGTATGAGAAGATCTTTTTCAAAACATCATCCCTACATTCCACCAATCAGATTCATTTTAATTAATGTTATATTTACTACTTGGGAGATTTAATTCCACTGGTAATTCATACCTTAGGGTCAGTTAGTTTAAGCAAATCAATCTATAGTAAGGATCAGGTGAGCAAATGAGCTTTGATTCGAAGTTGGGAAGGAAAGAATGAGAAAATAAGAGAAAATATGCACTAGCATAAAGCTGGCAATGTTCTTCCTCTTGGCTCCTTACAGCTTTCCCATTGCCATCTCAATTGTGGGTACACCCAGATTTCTCTTTGATATCTCGAATGCTGAGACCATTGGTAAAAATATTATGTTTTGGATTCTGTTCAAGACCTGTTATTTTATCTATTTGGGGAACTGCCTCCACCAGTACAGATCAGCAATTCATCTGTGATTTTTAGTCATAGGGCCCTGAGAACATGGGAGCATATAACAAAGTGGAAAGGACCTTAGAGGTCATCTAGTCCAGCATTTTCAAACATTCAGCTTACAGGACTCGAGTCTAATTAAAACAAAATAAAATACTATTGGGAAAATTTAACAAAATAAAAATGCAATAAAACCAAGGTAATATTAACACATGGCTATATATATGTATGTGTGTGTGTATATATATATATGTGTGTATATATATATACACACACACATATATATATATACACACACATATATAGCTGAGTCACTTTGTTTCTATTTGAGTTTGACATCACTAATATAGTCCAACATCTTATTTAGAGGTCATCTAGTTTGATCTCCTCATTTTACAGATGAAGGAAACTGAACTAAGACCCATTGAGATAGTGACTCTCCCTTGATCATCTAGCTAGTATATCAAAGACTAGATAAAGCAATATTTTCCCGATTTCAAGTCTGGCCCTTCATCCACATCACACTGCCTCTTCTTAGAAAAACACCCATGCTGGGGCAGCTAGGTGGTGCAGTGGATAGAGCACTGGCCCTGAAGTCAGGAGGACCTGAGTTCAAATGCAGACACAGACCAGACACTTGACACTTACTAGCTGTGTGACCCTGGGCTTAACCACTTAACCCCAATTGCCTAAAAGAAACAAAAACAAAAACACCCATGCTAACTAACAAAATAAAAAGAAATGAAAAGTCTTTAAGACATAAAACATCAATCTTACCATAGCACTTCTGGAACTAGAAGACACAGCACCTTCACGATTGTACATATAGACAACAAAATCATCTGGTAAAAACAATCTGCAAGTGAGGAAAACAAAAACAAGAAAATCTGAGTTGTGAAAGCTGCAGTGTTCATTTTTTTTTATCATGTTAAGTCAGCAAATGTTTCTGCCATTTAAACTACTTGTATTATCAAATAGTATTGCCCAAGATATTGATAAATATCTCTCTCTCCATTCAGGCTCTCTTAGACAGATTCCACATGCTATCACTCTGTCCATCTCAAAGTCCCCCCTCTCTCATTATTTCCAATTCACTATTTCCTCCATGTTGCCTCTCCAAGTCAGCTTTCCTTCTTATGAAGGAATACTTATCCTAAGTAATAGAATAAAATTCATATCCTGAGTGGAGTTATGTTTGGATGACTAGTCTCCACAATTAATTCAATTTTTAATTTTAACTTCATTGATGAATACCTGAACCCATTTATCTCCAGGGTGCTTCTATCTAATATGATAAATATTTATTAACTACCTACCATGTACCAGGCACTGTGCTAAGCACTGCGGATATATATAAGAAAACCAGTTCCCTCAAGGAGCTTAAAAGGGTGTGGGGCTGGGAGGGAAGGGATGGAGAAGACCCTCCATGGGTACCTAGCCCAGAGGCATAAGGATGGTAGAGTTGAAACCAAGCAAAACAGCTGGTAGCAAAAACAGATAATGGGATTTTGAGCTTTCTATAAAGGGATGCTATGGGAGTTTTTTTTTGCTTTGCCCTCCAGCCCTCCAATCAGAAGCTGAAGCAATTTCCATGCCTATGAGTTTTTTGGTGATGAGCTTATCCCAGGGGGAGGGGAGGAGAGACAAAAGAAGAGTAGAAGAATGATGATGACAATGATAGTGGAGTGGAAACCAAGCATAGAAGCTGGTGGCAAACTATATCAATTAAGAACCGACTTATGTCTTAAGTCTCTGTACATCACAAGCCACAGGATGTCTTTCTGACTCATTTCTGTAATTAATGAAAAGAGAATTGAGAATCCCATAAGTAAAAGAGCTGGCCTCAGAGGTAGGAGGATTTCTAGGTGTTCAAGTCCTGGTTATGGGACCCTGGGCAAGGGACTTAACCTCTCAGTGCCCCTAGGCAACTCTCTAAGACTACCAATCATCACTGATAGGGTAAGTTCCAAACTAGGAGCTCCTGCAGTGATGAAATAGGACTGATTTTTTTAAGTAAACAGTCTTCTGAAAAAGATTACTACAAAAGGAATCCTAAGAAAATAGCAGAGTGAAATGATTCCTGGGAGTAGCTTCCCACTACCCCCATATTCTGTCATATTCAGAGCTCCCAACTCAGAAAGCTCATCAATGACAGGAAGAAAAGAAAACAAACAAAAAAACCCATAAAGAAATGATACAAACAATAAACTGTAGACCATCTTATCCAGTCCATCACTACTAGAACGATTTCAAGACCTCCAGCCTAGCTTCCCCTGCTCCCACCATCAACATACTGTCCAAAGAGGTCCCTAAGACTCCCATAGCTTTGCAGCAAGTTTCTCTGATGAAGAACTCATTTCTAGAATATATAAGAAACTGAGTTAAATTTATAAGAATAAGAGCCATTCCCCAAATAATAAATGGTCAAAAGATATGAATGGGCAATCTTTAGAGGAAGAAATTCAAGTGATTAATAGCTACATAAAAAAAATCATCTAAATCCCTAAAAATTAGAGAAATGAAAACTAAATTCTGAGGTAGAACCTCACAACTATCAATTTGACAAAGGTGACAAAAAAGAAAAATGACTAATGCTGGAGGGACTGTGGAACATGGATACATTAGAGAACTGAGTCAAATTTATAAAAATACAAGTCATTTCCCAATTGATAAATAGTCAAAGGATGTAAACAGGCAGTTTTCAGACAAAGAAATCAAAGCTATCTATAGTTAGATGAAAAAATTCTCTACATAACTACTGATTAGAGAAATACAAATGAAAACAACTCTGAAGTACCACCTCACACTTAACAGATTGGTTAATGTGACATTAATGCACTCTTGATAGAGATGTGAACTAACAGAAAGCATTTTGGAAGTATGCCCAAAAAATCATTGAACTTTGCAGACACTTTAAAACAACAATATAGGTCTATATCCCAAAGGGATCAAAGAAAAGAGAAAATGGGCCCATATGTACAAAAATATTTATAGCAGCTCTTTTTGTAATGGTAAAGAATTGAAAACTGGGATGCCCATTCACCAGGGAATGTTCAAACAAGTTATGACATATGAAAGTGATAGAATACATAATGTGCTTTAAAAAATTATGAATGGATGGTTTCATAGAAAACTGGTACTATTTGTAAGAACTGATGCTAAGTTAAGTGAGCAGAACCAGAACATTTATATAACAATAGTATAAAGACAAACATCTATGAAACTCAGGAACTCTGATCAACACAATGACAAGCCACAATTCCAGAATATTTGTGGTGAAACAAATTACCAATCTCTAGATAGACAGATGAGAACACATAGTGAGGATTTTTTTTAACATAGCCAATGGCAGAATTTGTATTGCTTGACTATACATGTTTATAACGGATTTTGTTTTTCTTGTTTTCTCAATGGGAGAGGGAGAAAGGCAGGAGGGAGAAAACAGGGATATAAAAAATAGTTTTAAAAATCCAAAAAGAGTATCCAAGAGGGGAGGGTGATCAATATTGTCAAATGCTACAGAGAAGATAAAAACAGCTGATGGTTCGAGGTCACTAGATTTGGTGATTAAAAGATTATTAATAACTTTGGGAAGTGCTGCAATTTAAATACCCATTTTCTAATATAGTCTGTTTTACAGAAGAAATTGTATCTTTTTCAAAGACTATTACATTTTAAGCATTTTATTAAAATAAAGATTTTTTTGTTAGAGATAAAAAAAAATGTAAACAGCAACCCATTCCAGTGCTGAGAAGGATGAGTTGATGATATAAATTTTAGTGAAATTAGATGAGTTTTAGGTAGTGGTGTACTAGAGCCAGATGGAAGTGGCTCCTGAGAACTGTTGTTAAATTTAAATGTTGTGAGCATATATTTTTTCCAGAGACCTGGTTGTTAAACATTTATTAGCTCAACCCTGGTTTTAGGCCAAGTATATAGTGGCCCCAAATGCAAGTTTAAGATCTGGAAAAACTGATTCAATAAGGCAGAAATTTTTTTAATGAATTCTTTTACTAAATATAAACATTCAGCAAGTATACACATTGACAGGTGTAGATGTCCAGTTCCATATCCACAGTAACCCACTCAGGTTGATAATAACAGCAGCCTATATCAGAACTGTGAAAATGAATATGCTAACCTCCTTTATTTGCTTGAGTTCCCCAATTATCCAGGTAACTGAGGGGAGCGATATAGGACTAATTTGAGCAATCAGGATACAGAATGGCTTGACAAATTAACAATCCTTTGCCGTAACCAAGAGTAACCCCAGCTGGAAGCACAGAATCAATGACCTCAGCTGAAACTACCTCACCTCAAACCAGCCTTGGGCAGCCCCTGAGCTATCAGCTAGCCTCAGGCTCTTAGAGATATCCCCTTTATCTTGTCTGTACTCAAGCCTTGGACTCTCTGACTCATAGTGGTTATGTTGTTTACTCTTCAGTATACCAAGAAGTCATTGCCCCTCATGCCCAGAATTCTCCATCCATAACACGCCCCATTCCCTTCCCAGATCAGCCCATTTCCCGCTTCCCTTTATTAGAAATACATAAACCACTCCCTGCTTCCCCCTGAGCTGAGCTGTTCCAGCATTAGGCTGTCTGCTCCACATGCATGTATGTACCTACTTAGTAAAGACCACTCTTGACTTTTACAGGCACAGTCTCCCTCTGGTTTTCTTCCATTTGGGAAAAAGGGATCCAGGTTCCATAAGATTAGTGCCTCAGTTTACAGAACAGATCACCAGATCATAATAACTTCTTGACACAGGATGACACAGGATTTACCAAAAAGTTAACAATTCAACAAAAGTTTAATAAACACCTATTATATGCCAGGCCAAAAAGTATACCTTAGTATATCTGGTCTATTGTCACTCCAGTTATCATGACTTAGGGTTATGTATGCACTTTAAATCACCAAGGTCGGGGCAGCTAGGTGGCGCAGTGAATAGAGCACTGACCCTGGATTCAGGAGGACCCGAGTTCAAATCTGGCCTCAGAGACATAACACTTACTAGCTGTGTGAACCTGGGCAAGTCACTTAACCCCATTGGCTAACCCAAAAACAAACAAACAAACATAAATCACTAAGGTTAAGCAGCTCATTTGGTCCCTTAGGGTCTAATGTCTAGGCAGAATGAGTGAAATCTAAGACAACGACCTCCAAAGACAACTAAAACTTCAAAAGTAGTAGCCTATAGTCTAAACCACAAGCAAAAGGTAGATTCAAAGACAACCCTTTCATTCACCATCTCCTGTTTTCAAGAAGTATGGAGTAGGAGGGACAGATAAAGCTGCAATACATGGTATGGAATCACCAAAACATTTTGTAAAAAAGAGTGCTTCAAAAGTTATGACATTCCAGTACTAAATCTGTATGTGTATAAGTAGGTGTCAGAATATATATGTCTGTTTGTATAATTATGTTTAAATAATCTTGCTAATATGGTTTTAGATGTGTTGCTTCTTTTTACGATGAAGTGCAAAAGATGAAAAAATAAGGACATTTTATTAAGCTCAGACTTGATGTGTGTACGTGAAGATGCACCTGGTTCTTCAGTGAGAGGAGAAATAGTCCCTAATAAAACTTAAATCAAAAAGATAAAGAGAAGATTTAAATAAATGAAAACTTCCAAAGAAATAAGATTAACATTACTGCAAGTTCTCTTAAATTTGACAGTGATGTTTATATGTTATAAGGACTCATGATACTCATGTCCAGCTAAGTTAGGGACACAATTTCTTGCTCCTAAATCAACTGCAGTACATGAAGAACTACAAGAAACAGATGATAGAGTTGGTACCTCCTACATGAGATTTTTTTATCCCATAAAAATTACTTTGAATATGTTTT